GTGGGTGCCAAGCGTGTGCACACTAGAGAATGATCGAAATCCAGCCACTTGTTCCAATTTGATCGACAGCATTGGACTGATGTGCGCCGTCTATGGATGTTGGCAATATGGTCAACTTGGGTTCAGGTCATTGGAGAATTCGGTGGGCGCCAGGTGATACGGTGTTATCGTTTGCGCTGGAAAGCAGTGCTGCTAAGGTATATTTCATGGTCCGTGCGCAGTTGTAGGAATCGAGCACTATTGTCATTTCGGTGTGCATCGACCCCGAAGCGGTCTCTCAGGTCTTGTTCACGGTCTAATAGACAACCCACTTAGGTATTCATGTCACCAGCAACAATCATAATGTCAGTATCCTTCGCCATGCGAAGAAAAGAGGAGAACTGATGATGCAATTTGTTTTTTTGATACCCCCTGAATTACATTCGCTATGAACATGGACATAGCCGATGGAAAGGTACCCAGTCTTCGTACGGTGCTTATTAACTGCCCATATGCGTTTGTTCACTGGATGCCAGTCAAGCAGATTACTTGCAGCATGCTTCCTGAAATCAATACCAACAAGGTAAATGCCTTGAACCGTTAACTTTTTGAGGCGAAGAGTGTAGTCATCGTATTCAGCTTCAGAACCAGGAAGACAAGAATTCGTCGCAACGCTGTTATCTTGTGCGCGTAGTTCGGAGACACAGCACACATCAGTACCAAGAGAGTGAAGAGCTACATGTATAGAAGGCAGCAGTTGTGAGGTCAGCAGTAGTCTTGTGTTTAATAGGCAAGCAAGAGGAGAGTAGAGTAGGGAGAGGAATACAAGCAGAAAAAACGAAGAAGAAGAAGAAGCGAAAAAGAAGAAGAAGAGAGGGCATTGTCACCTGGGTCAAGAGCGTAGATGATGCCTTCCTAATGAATATTTTCCGAAAGAAAGGTATTGTCCGAGGTACCCTATCTCTAGCTTTTGGCTCAACAATCTGAACGATAAGGCAGTGGAGGAAATGGAGGTTCAGTTGAAGGACTTCATCCAGAGCATTTGGTTCAATAGCCTGATCCACGAGGCAGTGGGAAGCAGGTCCAGCTCGGGAGTGCAATTGCTGACGCCCACTGGAATCTGGTTGATGCTTGTCACACATAGCTTTTAAAGATTTGGAATAATTAACACGTGTGTTACGACGGTGATAAGTTACGTATTGGAAACCTCTCCCGCTTCTGCTACCTTGGGATGTGGTGTCGACTGACCAGCACCTACACGGTGAGCTGCCTATCCGCGTGTCGAAGGCAACGGCGGCATTGAGAAAGCTAGAGCACCGAGTGCAGAACAACCATCAGGTTATCATTGGCAGGAAGCTGATGGTGTACAAATCCATGGTGCTGTCCGTTCTTCTATACGACAGTGAAATGTGGACGATTTGCCAGCTGGATGTGCGATATCTCGAGCGGTTCCATCAACAGTGTTTGCGGCGGATTATGAGCATCGATAGGTGCGACAGGGTTGTGGAAACGGAGGTGTTGCTTCGAAGTGGAATGTATGCAGTGAACTGCATAATTTTGCTGAGAAATCTTAAGTGGTTCGGTCATGTGAGTCGTATGGATTCGATGCGGACACCGAATCAACTATTATATGATTAACTGCGTGCAGGGAAGCTGCATGTGGGGAAACCAAAGCTTCGTTACCAGGAAATGATCAAAGTGATCCTCTCACATTCTGATCTTGATTGTAAGTCATGTGAATTGAAGGCATGTGCATGGCGCGACCTAATCACGAAGGCAGTTGCCGAAGTGCAAGAGAAAGCATTCGTGCTTTCAGAGAAAAAGCGGCAATTGCGGAAGCGCCAAGTGCCGATGGGTTTTAGTTTATAGACATCGAGCGCATGGTGCTGTAGCACATGCGATCGCGATTGCCTGAGTCAGGTAGGTCTAGTGAGCCATGAGCTTGGGCACTTGATGCCAAAACCGAAACGACGACGTGTCCTGCAGAGAAGGTGAGCCGAAGCGGCGCAACGTTTGTAGGTATTCGGCATTCGATTTACTAACCGTGTGCTTGCATGCTAAGTGCCTTTATTTTAGGCAGTGGGTTTGCTATATTGTCTCATTAATGTCTACGTTAATTATTTTCTTTTAGCTTGCACACATCGCGCAAGTTAATTGCAGTTAACTTTGATCTACTTTTCGCGTTTGTGACATTTTCTTAACATATATCTTCTGATGTCTTGAAACTATGGCAGCCATGTTGGCAACCAATTCATTTCATGCGTTAATTCATTGAAAGTAATATTGCTGTATTTGTGTGCGCTATTCGGTTTACTTTATTTGATCTCGTCATTTCAAGTGATTGGCTGTTGCTTGATATCCCCGGTGTAGCTGCGCTTGATGTGCATGTTGACAAGGCGCCTACCTGTCTATTACCCACGTCTTCGTCCATACTGGCTCCAGGTGACAGTTGGTCGTTGCTGGAGGGGACGGGTTGCGCGGTTCTTGTGGCCGTATTAGGATCAAATAGTGGTTCCATGCACTCAGTGTGGAGCGGACTACGGTCCAGCCACCGCCTTGTGTGCGCTTGATTCACAAATACAGCGTGCTTGTGTTTGCCTGTGAAGGAGTGTGGGCCAGCTCCGTTGATAAAACCTTGCTCCCATCCACATGCTTTCGGTCTTATTCCTTCCGGTTTACACTGGACATGGGGTGTGTGGATGGAGCTGTGGGTGGTGCAATGCAAGCCATCCATGGTCCCTCTGTAGGCGCAGGCTTTCTGTGGCTGGCCACAGTGACAGCAACTCCGGAACCGGATGCCGCCAATCATGGTACGTATCTGGGAGAACGGCCCACCGCAGGTAAGATTTGGCGGATTTGCACTAATTTGACTAGTATATGCCTGCCTTATGGCGGATGGTGGCAAACCAATGAGCACCTTTGAGTGGACTTTGGCCTGTTGTATGAAGCTGTGCTTTTGCAGATTCTTAGTCTGTCCATTGCATTTGTTTCCCGATGAAGTTGTGCTAGGCCATAGTGGAATTGTTATCTGCGTGAGATGATTGTGAGGAGGCAACACACTCCGGAGAATACTAGTACATGCTAACTGAAGTGGCTTGGCCGGTTATCGTTCAGTTTATACCCCAGGTAGAAATTGGTTTGCAAGCTCTAAATCCTGTGTTCGAGCCTAAGATGCAGGATGGATTCGGTCTGCTCCTTTGTATGATCAAATGACCTTTTCAATATAGCTTTCATCTTCGGCGTTCGCAGAGGTGGGAAGTGTAGAGGCAGAAGTGTTCTTGACTATTCTGAGCGTACTGTGCTAGGGGTTGGTTTGGGATTAACGCTGTCCGGAGAATTTAGATGGTGAAGAATCAGGCCACGAAATTCAGTGTACCAAGGAGAAACTCAAGTGCAATGCCCCAAAAACGTTGCACCCCTGTCACCAACAGTGGCTCGGCCCAAATCCAATTAAGAGCACACAGAGAGAGCCGCAACTGCTAAAAGCATACACATTTGTCTCCTTAAGGTGACTAAGAAACTCACGCGGATATTGCCTGTAATATCACTGTTTTCTCTGCTAACTGAATTCTACAGTTGTACGGTTACCAATGTCCTCGTAATTGTGTTACAACATTTGTCTGCTTTGGAAAGGATCTGAGCCACTCAGTTGACCCGCGATCATTCCAAAGTTGACTTCGGTTCTGATTGAGATGGTGTAACTCAAACCATTCGCACAACATATGCTTCAAAAGACCTCACAGTTTGATCATTTGCGGTCGTTACAAGGGCGAATAGCCGCTCTTCGGTGCCTTAGTAGTAAGGGTGTAGTTTGACATACCAAAGTTCCAGCATGCGACTTGAAATCTTGCCATCTTCGCCTGGTGCGTGTAAACAGGTACGAAACAGGTTGCGAAGTGCAACGCCGCAATTGGGCAAAACAAAGAGTTATATGGTGTAAGTACTTCAGGATAAAGTAAAAAAGGCTCCCAATAGTCACCGTGAATCCCTCCACTCTGCTTAAGTCGGTCAGTAGCCCTAAAGACCCCAATCTTCCTGTGCAGTTCGATGGCGCGGGTTCGAGTTTGCGTGGGGACCGGGAGACCCTCGCACTATCTGTAGCCAAAGTACGATGGGTAGTAGCCGCGCAACAGCGTACCGGTGTATTGATGACGATTTTTCTGCCTGCCCTTCGGTTTACTCGGGTATCTGCGTCGCTTATCTTGCATGCAAATTGCTAATATTACCTATTTTTGCTAGTGACCTTGCTAACCGGGAAGTTCCACGCCCTAAGATGACAGTCAAGCGCGTTTGAAACTATCGCTTGCAGTAGAAACGAAACGACAGCTCGCAGCCGGAGCAAAACGCGTCAGCCAAGCAGAGCAAAAGCTATGTTCAAACGTATATTCACACCACAAATTTATCAAGTGGTTTAACTTCGTTCAACCCATGAGCGGTTGAGGGTTAAACAGGCACTCACGCATACAGCTGCAAACGGCCAACTGGAAGTACGCAGACTGTTAGTAAGATTGGCCACGCGGATCTAATGTATGCATACTTTTTTTTCCTGGTCAGTTTACCTGTTGTGCCTGATTGCATTAGTGGTAGGATGCTTCAGTTACCTAGATAAAGTCAGCGCTTTCACGCTAAAATGGCTATACAGTCAAACCTGTCTAAGGCGACCACTCCAGGGACCGACAAAAAGTGGCAGATGGTCACCATAGACAGGTTTATGCATTGGGACATTACTCAGGAGAAAACGTTGGGATGTTTTTGACTGGTCTCCATAGACAAATGGTTGCCATCCACATTTGGTCGCCAGATCACGTTGGACTGTACTAGTATAGTTGCTAGCTAAACTTCATGGCCACCTCGATGAGTTTGAGAATGAAATATTTATTTATTTATGTTATGACACTATTTGTTGGATCTCAGCGGTACGCTGTTTTTCAAAAAAAAGTCTGTTCTTATACATGCCATCATTGAGATTGGTGTGGTCAGCTAACCTCATGTTACCCATTCCATTTCTCCCTTTCGCGCAGTTCTATGACCCCGTCAATTATGCGGTTCTCATACCGGACACCATAGCGCCTACGTTAGATGTTCCCAAAGTGAGCGCTATATGGCCAAAATCAGATTCACGGGCGGCAGTACTTCACTGCAGTCATAACGCTTTCATTCATGGTGCTGAGGCAGTATTCCTCTTTACCACTGATGAAAATGAGTTTAGGGTACTTGGGCGCAGTCTTTTTCAGCTAGTTAGCGCTGGTGGCAACGCAAGTGCAGTGTTCAAGTGGCTGGACGTCTATCCAGACTTGCAAAACACTAGTTTCTACTGTCTTATACAAGTGTCAAGAGGTCCCATAGTGAATCAGAGAGTGCTATTGAAGCTTCCTCAAGAAACAGATGAAGTAAAGAAAAGCTCAGCGTTAGTTGGCCAGCCCGTCATCTCAGATTGCCCAAGACCACCCCAGATACACTTTAATCCGGATTTAGATCTGAGACCAGTTACACAAGACTCCCGACTGGATGTGCTGTGTGAGGCCCCAATAACGTCTAGGAACCTTCTTCTCAAATTCTACTATCTCACAACCAAGCATAGCATTGTTTTGTGTGCAGATGGCCACGGTGATCAGAGGGCGTCGTCCTCCAACAAAGAGGGTAATAAATCCGCGAACCATGAAGTGCCATGCCATCCAGTCTCGTTTACGGACACAAATTGCGCTGACAAGCTAACTGATGCACCGAATAGGCACACACATTACGCCGCCACATGCTGGTACATTGCTCAGGGAAGCCTTCGTGGGACGCCTTCCACTCGCATCCACTTCAATGTCACCAGACTTCATCCAGTTGACTTCAACGCATATGCGTTTTGCCAGAGTGTTGATTTGTATTCAGTTGATGAGGATCGGCAAGAAGATGTTCCGACCGGATTCAGTCCACTTAAGACCATTATTTTTGCAATGCAGCCACATATTGAGCAGTTTTACTTTAGCCCAGAGCTGCAACAATGGGTGTGTGAGACCATGTCCTACCCGTTCGTCGAGACTGGATCCGTGATGGTACTGAATGCTTCATCCCACTGGCTTAGACAGCAAATGAAAGCGTATACAGTGGAAGTGGATACCACACAACCAGAGCCAATGCATTCTCAGCTGCTTCCGAACCACTATCGCATACATTTGAAACAGTACAAGTATTTCACACGAATGTTCTACATGTCGATGTCCGTAATTCCCGGAGGGCTGACAAGGGGCACCGTGGAGCTTAGATGCACGCTCGAGACAGCGTACAAGGACCTGATTACCAACATCGTCCCGGACGTGATAATCGATGAGCCAGCCGTTAAGCCCCAAGGAATCGAGGAAGCCGGTAAAATAATGTTCTTGGATTGTGAATTCGACTGGCATGCTAAGCCGGCCCTGGTAACCTTGTTGCGACACATTCGAACAACTAGGTTTATTTACGACATGAGTCTTGTCACCTTCGTGTTTATGGAGCTTGTGGATGACAAATGGATCGAGTTAGATAGTGCGCATTACAAAAGGGGCCATTATTTTGGATCATGGCGTATGGTAGCGTCAAAGTTGTCTGTCCATCCGCTCATCACTTTGGACCCAGCATTTTCGTTTTCGGCCTCAATTTCTCCAAGTTCGGTGAGTGCCTGTTGTTTACTTTATCATTTCTGTATTCGTCTGTAGCGTGTCCGTGACACTTTCGGGGTTTTGCACCTGATAAACTTGTATTAAACCGGTAATATATTGCATCAATGTTTTTCGAAATGTAATTGATCGAGTAACGTGGATTGCGGTCTGTGACCATGCGCTTGACAACATGTGTGTATCAGTCATATTCCCAATGAATAACCGAGGTAGCTACAGCGTGTTTGGATCATTAGGCTCGATGACGAAGCGGAAGGTGTCCATAATGAAATCAAGTTAGTCGACAACAGATGTGAGACTATCGTTAGCGTACAACATACCAATAGCGCTCCTCGATTAGGTAGACCCAACTGCTTGTTGACTAATTTCCTGTTAAGCTTACCACAGTTATAGTTCGGATTCGTGATAAAGTGAACTCACAGTGATGATATAGCTCTATTGGTTGGTGAAACCCTGATATCTGGTAAGGTTTACGAATGTCCCGTGATACATTTGTGCCTTTGGCATTGTGTACCAACAAACCTCCCAACCATCGACCGTCATGGGTACACAAATTACCGTGCCAAGCTGTTGCGGGTCCGTCAAATATCCCCGCAAACACGCGGCAGAAACTCCGTCATAATGACTGTGGAAAGCGGGGTCCAATTCCTCCCCACAACGCAGCAGTGTTCAACCACTGCGAGACGCGACCCAACTGCGCACCTGCTGGCAATGTTCTTTTGCAAACTACCGCCCCATCGTAGTATCAATTTCCCCTAACTTAATGACCCATTGCATTGGCTGTGATTCGCCCTTTGTTGGTCGTAAAAGAACCTTCAGAGTACCACTTGCCTTTCTTCCTCTTCGCCTTAGTTGGGACTCGGTCGGTCGGTCACATAAGTTTGCGTGCGTCGATAGCCGGGCAGCGTTCGCGTCTAAGTCACTAGTGCGCGTCTACCGTAACCCCCTCTCGTGTGCGTCCGTTCCGAGGGCTCAGTGTCTACTCGAATACGTGTGGCTAGGATCGTTCTCACGCTCGCTCAATTCCCGTCTCACCAGCGCGTAGCCAGGGCTAAGCTAACGTCATCAGGTCCGCGTAAATCCGCTCGATTGGCCAGCGCTCGAAGCCGTTACCTTGGCAGTGACAATGTTATCAGACATCTACGCAATTAGTATAGCAAATTCTGTTTGTATGTTCGATGATGTACTAATACAAACAGAATACTGCAATGCGCAATGCGCAATAGTCTGTGGTATATTGCGGAAAAAAGCCGAAGGTTGACATGTCATACCTAATGATCGGTTGGAAGTGAGCAAGATGAAGCCAAAAAATAGCAACAGGAAATGGTGAACAGCCACAAATTGCCAACTTGTCGGTTACAGTGCCCCCTGTCAGGGACGCCCACACTTTGTTTTATGTATTATCCAAGGTTTCAGGCAACAATGAAGGTGGGTTGGTGTGTATTTGTTTTTCTTATGTTTGTGTGGATCCTTTGGTTTATGGTAGATGGTGTAATAAGGTCAGTGCAACACAGACACGAGCTTTGAACATAGCTGATGTGGAGGCTGAAATAACTGCAAAGAGTGTATTACATGTGCGTCAGAAACGAAGCGAGAGTAAATTCCTTCGACTTCCCAAACAGCTGTACTGTTCTGCTAATTTGCGATGGTGACCTCTGTCTGTTGTGGTGACTAAGCTTCAACGACTGACGGCACAAGTGATTAGGGTTGTTTAGAATTTGATAAATCATGATTGGGTCACCACGCAAACGCCGATAGCGCCGGCTGAAAATGCCTAGTACCCTGAGGCGAAGTCCCTATGGCACGTAGCGTAACCCGTTGACAGTCTTGGTCGCCCGACATTGGGGAATCTCCAGCACAGTACGATCCCGCTTCAGTCATGGATGCCATGATTGAACTGCATATTCAATATGAGGACGTATGTAATTGTGTAAATGCCAATCCCCTACCCGTCTAAGGGCCTTTATATGTGTGTCTCGCGACAGTGAATCAGCGTACTAGAAACTCGGAAAATATCGGCAATAGATGCACCGTGTTTCGGATCTGTTTAGTAAATGGACAGCAATCTGTGATGCATTGTCTCAATTCTGCGCACGTGGGCGGAGACCTGTCTCAACACTATTAGGTACGGTAATCAAGCTCGTGATACTGCCCTTAGCTAGGTGATGACTATGGGACTATCCGGGTAGAACGTTTTGAAGGCCACCCAAATTTAGATATTATTTTTGTGCTGCTCTGAGTATCAGAATATCGTAGCTATGCATGCACACCGCGAACCCCTAATTCACCGACGTAACCTTGACGCTTTGATTCCTACTACTATCTATTTAAAAGTAGTATATCTTTAGCAGATGGTCATTTAAAGTACTCGTGGGATTGAATTCCGAAGTGCAATCTTAATGTGGACCGTAATTCGCAATGATGCCGTTAGATTACTGACCGTAGCTGAAGCATACGAAAATTGGGTGCTGCCTGCCCGGAAAAGCTAAACCCTTTACTTAGCATTTGTGGCCACAACGGTCTGACAGATTGCCACTATTAGTCATATACATTTTGAACTACCTAAATGTCTGGTTGCCGGTAAGTTCACCTATTCGTAATTCATTTATCTCTATTTTCCCCATAACACTAACGTAGAAGCATAGTTACTTCAGTACAACCTGTTCTGCCCATCACCAATAATTCTTACACTCCAGACCGTGCATTTGGAGAGGCATCGTTGACTCATATTTATACATCGATTTTTGCAACTGTTTTTTTTTCATTGAATCGTCCATGTTCACCAACCTAGGGCTTCAGCACATGTTCCTCGACTCCAGCTACCTCATCTCTCATAGTGCGTTGCGCAAACTTACCCTTCCGCTGTTTAGAACGAAGCTGCACCTCATTCGCATTTAACCGAACTGCGCGGTTATCCAATGCATTGATTCAACGTTTACTCATCGATGCTATTTGTCAGATTGGCTCAGTTGTATCCCGTTCAGCCGATCTACTAATAATTGCTTAACAGAAAATGTAGCAACTCACCTCTGTTCACGTGAATTAATCCAGTGAAATGCCGGAAGTCCCTACAGGATTGCTAGTTCACATACACCCAGTATGAAGTAGCCATCCTTCAGGCATAATTGTTAATGTACGAAGCAGACTCAGAATACATGTAGGTGACAGCATCACTACAAGTTCCAGTTTGGTTGAGGCAGCGATCCAATTTTTAGGTACTTTGTCTTACACCGCAAAGTCATACTGTCGTGTAAAGCCCCGAGAATCAAAAACAAAGACTGGGCTGCGATAAGAGTCGATTTGGATCAAAAGGCAAGGTATTACTTTTAGCCTAAACAACGCACTGTCTGGTGACTACGATTTGCTCTTCATTGATTGGCTGCATCTGGCAGAAACCCACCATATTCATCGATTGAGGCAACTGGTCATACGGGCTTACCAAGCGACTCTCGCTCATGCGTGCAGGCGTTGATGCTAGACTGGCGGCGGGCAATCGATCGCGCGGCCTCATGTCTGTTCATTCCGAGTGCGTAAGCGAATGCGGACAGCTCCCGTTACCATGCTCACACCACATCCCCGCGTTTCTCAGGTTGGACTCTTTCGGTGCGGCAATTCCGTGTGCTCTTCCGCTGCGTGTCCTCTTGCTGTCTTTTCCGTCACCTCTGATCTCCTGCTGGTTCTGTTGCTCGCTCGTCGTCCCACTCATTGGCGGATGTCGTTTCATGTGAATGCGGTTTCTCAAGTACAAACCATTTCCAACTTGACGACATAACTTCTTTCTCCAACCCGCTTTTCCACCACTCCTCTCCTCCACTATTTTACTTCTCCAGGCGCCAGTTGTATCCATACCTCTTCACCGACCCGAAGTGGTCGTAACTCTCTAGAGCCGCCATCATAATACCGTTTTTGGCTAAGCATGCGTTTTTTCCAGACGATCAGTTATCTTTGCCGGGGATTGTTTCCAGTTGGAGCAGGATTTTGGCCGCGGGCAACAAAGTTCTCGTACTGCGACTAAATAAACGTTGAACAGGACTCATCCTGATTTCTGGAGGCCGGGGGTTTCTTCGTTTTATAACCATGATATATGGGTCCTCGTTCAGCACTGCAGGTTTAGTTAGTATTCCTTTTCCATACTTCACCGCTGCTCCAGCCTTTCCATTCGACTGGCTATGGTAAGGGATGGTGAGTCGATGGCCAAATTCCCACTTCTTACTGAAAGCTCTCAACTCCTGAGCAGTAAACTGCGGTCCGTTGTCTGATACTACTTCCTCAGGGATCCCATGTCGAGCGAAATGACCGCGCAGCTTGTTTATCACCGCATGAGCACTGGTTGAGAGTATTGTATCAATCTCCAAATAGTCACTGAAGTAATCTACCATGATTAGTTAATCCTTTCCTTTCTACGTGAACAGTTCCAATACCACCTTCTGTCACCCCCATTCCGGAACTCCTCGAAGCGCCATTGGTTCATTCGTTTGTCCAACGTCATGTGTACGTCCAGTTGGGCAGTTCGACGCGTAGTCCCGAATCTGACTAGCCATCCTGGGCCAAAACGTAAGCTCCCTGACTTGTGCGACGCAATTATTCCTTCCCAAGTGTGCACCATAAACCGTCTCCAGCACGCTGCGTTGCATTGCCTTTGGGATTAACACTATTTCTTTTGAAGATCAAACCGTCTTCTACAACGAGTTCCTCACGAGAAAAAAAACGGTGTCAGTTCCGTCGCCAAACTCCTCTTCTCCACTGACCACCTTTACCTATTGCTCGTTCTAAACTGTTGCACACTGCGTCTTCGTCTGTGCAGCATCTCAGGCGTTGTAAACGCTCTCCGGTGACGACGAGTTGCTGTGTCGCTTGAACAATGTCGAGATCATCTCGTACTATGCCTGCATCCAATAGATGGGCTCTCGGCAACGTGTGTGCGATGTGAATTTGTGTTCCAGGCTGGTAGACGATCTACAAATCATACTTAAGAACACGGATGAGCATGCTCT